GGACATGTTCACCCAAATTACCATTTTCCCAAAGACTTCTGGTGGCAGACAGACTATTAATAAAGTTAACACACCAACTGACTGTTGAAAATTAGCCACACTGGTGTTGTACATAGAAAACATACATTATTCATTACATATAACTCACTGAACGTTCAGAGAAACTGTGGGAGAAACAGAAAACAAGACATGTATGGTTTAACAAGTAGCCAGCCTACGGTTATGACATAATTGCAGACTGTTACCCTTCATGTTAGCTTTGCCCCAGAGACTTACTGAAGCTAAGCTAACATATGCTAACTAAATACTTGCCTTTAACCAAACGCAGGGAACCCATGCAGGGGAGGCCAGCTGGCTACTGAGACACAGTAAGACCAGGTATATGATTTCTTTCTCATTTCCTATGCAAGCTAACCCCCCAAAAATCAGAGTGAAGAAAGTGATATTATAGTCAGCAGTCAACCCTTGATCCAAACCTGATAAAGTAATACAGCATAGGTGTGATTACTAACTGTAGTGTAATTCGTCAGTTCCATAATGTAACCTTTTATTAACACAGCTTGAAATAAATAAATAAGTCATATATACTGGATTTGTCTAGTTTCTTTCTCCCAATTTAATCCAACGTCAGGGACTCTGAGAGTCTTACTATTACCACCATTTTTTTCCTTTGGCATGCTTATTTAACATCTGTGCACCTGCGTGAAAAAACTGAAGCCGTTCCAAATAGATTTAGAAAAAAAATATGCAAGAAAATGCCCAGTATCATATTTCATTTTGGCTCAAATTCAAATTTCCATCTGAAATAACTAGAGAAAGGATTCTTTTTAGCTCACAACTCCAATACTTCAGCCAGTGGCAGCAGGTCTATAACCAACACACACACTGACACACACACACACACACCTATAACCAACAGTCATACGGGCTTTCTCTTTCTGTCAGTGTCCAACTCCCTTGCCCTCTCTCTATCTCATTTCTGCACAGTGGGGTATAAATGTAAATACACAGGAGTTACACACACACATATATACACACACGCCTCCACACACAGCCTGGAGCAGCCTCCTGTCTTTCTGTATAATAATGTCTCCAGTGGAGCGAGTTGCTGTACTTTTTTCACGGGAGTCCGCCTTCATCCCACCCATTCAAACAGCCATCCACCACCGAGCTGGGGGTTGCCTCCACCAATCTGACATCGAGCTCAGAAATTCAGTTCTGCCCGGTGGTAACGCAGACCCACTGCTGGCAGCAGACAGACAACGCACCTCCACGCTTGCACAAGGGGAAAAATTTAAAGTTCACAATAAAATATGGTTGGAAATTATGCTCATTTGACAACTTATGCAAGGTGTGCGCCACTGCTTGAGTAGGTGCGTGCATATCTATTGTCACGTGCACACGAGTAAACAGCAGTGTTGATCTGGGAGCAATCAGACCGTGACAGACTCTGCAGCACCATCCCACAGGCCTATAGTGAGGAAAAAGACTGCACTGCTAGGCATAGCCATTTCCTCTAAATGACCGTCTCTCTCCCCTCCCTTCCTCACATCACCACCGGGGGAGAGACTGACTCCATGTCTCGACACAGCACTGCTAAAGCTGGGGTCAGCCTGTCCTGCTCTAACCTCAGTCTTGGAACGCTGGGGACACATCACAGTATTGGAGGAGGGAGGCAGGGGAGGACGGAGAAAAGCGTGAAGGATGTTGAACCTAAATTCAACACTTTCCCTGAGAGATGCTTGCTGTGAATCCATTGGCGTTTTTCCATTCTTAAAAAGTTTGCATCAGCAACCATGTGTCTTTCCCCTCCTTTGATGCCCAATCACCATCAAAGGGCACCGAGGCAATGAACTGTTCGCCCTCCGCATCCAGCTGGAGTTTAAAGGGAACATCACGTATGGGTGAAAAATGGCTCGCCAGTCTCTTGCCTTGAGTAGGTAATTGGAGATGATATAGTTGAGATTTAGTTCTGGGCAAAGTCACTTCAGAGTCGCAGACGTTTCACTTCCCCTTTCAAAGACTGACACCAGAGGAATAGTACTCTGCCGAAGGTTTTACACAGCTCATTTCCCCAATCCCAAAAAAGCAAGGAGAAGAGAGCACGAGCAGAATCTGAGGCGATCTTAGATCCTAGAAGCTCCTTGTTCCCTTTTCCGTTTATAACAATCGGAAAGGAAAAAGGAATTCTGCAATTGCATTACCTCTCTGCGTGAGGGCCCTGGGGAACGTTCATGTCTTGAACACTAAGCATTCATTTCCTTGTTCTCCACAAGGATCCCTGGGAGGCCATGTTGTCTGATTCATTTCACTGAATTGTCAGCTAATGAATGGTACGCGTCCATTGACTGCCACACACTTTCTCGGAATAGAAAAGCCCCCAAGGGTGCTCATCTTGGGGGTTCTCCTATTCTCATTAGGAGGGAATCAAACGGAAACAGAGGCTCACTGATCATTTCTCATGTCCTCTGTGTGTGTGTGTGTGTTCCATGAAGTGGGGGTGTGGCTCCATGCGAAGGCGTCTTTCTCTCTTTGACTTGGTGATCACCGTTTTTGGACGTTTGCATCTTTGAGGGCATGTTATTGACCGCTTTTGATTGAGCCTTTAAACAAAGACGACTAGCGGACTCTCTGGGACAGTATTAGTAAGTGATCTGTCTTGCTGGCAAAGCATTACAAGCCACTTCAGGCATGAGAGGCAACAAGGTTATGTAAGATTGGCAGGTGAGAATTGTTAAAGAAAATCTTCACTCGAGACCTGAATTCAAATATCGTTCTCCTGCAGCCTCCTCAGCTGTTGTTCCTCTCCTTTTATAAGTCCTCTGTGCCTTTTTCTGTCTGTCTGAGTTGTGCCATCCTGCATCCTCCTCAGTAACTCACCATCTACACCAACCCTTTCTTCTTCCTCTGCTGGTGTCCACAACACCCAGTAATGTCCGCTAATGGGATTTTCCGTGTCCCTCCCGTGTCACAACAACAGCACCTTTCTCTTTCTTTCTTTTCTTCAGGCAGTTTTATCGTCAGCATAAGTCACTGACTCAATGCAACCTGTCTCTTTCCACTGTTACCACCCTCTCCCTCTTCTTCTCCATCTTCCACCCACCGTCCACTCGTTTCCCACTCTTCCCTCTAATCTCACCTCATGTTCTACCTGTTCACATTTCATCCACTCCCTCTTCCTCCATACTAACCCCCTCCAATCCATTGATTTCTCCTAGCCTCCCCCTCTTCCTCATCCTTCTCTGCCCTCCTTTTACATCTCCTTTCCCCTTGTTACTCCCCACCTGTGCAAAGGCTATTTGGTGTGAACAGTTAATAACGGAATCATAGTGGGTTCTTTATCTTAGCCACATTACAAGATAAGGTATTGATATTGAGACTAGTATTTGTAGAAGCAATCATATTTTTTTCCACAGAAGAGCCATGTAATATCACAGCTGGTCCAGGGAAAAATGCCCAAATGTGCTCACGTGATCAAATGTACACTCAAAGATAAACGCATTCACATTCATCACAGATGTACATAAACACATTTGCAGCTATGGTATTCACAGACATTGAGCTGATTGCACCCAAACACCCCGGTGCAACAACAATGTATAATACATGAGCTTTCCACATACATAAACATGTCTCGCACTGATCAGAGTCATTATAGTCGCTTAAGACCCATCATGTGTGTTTGTGCATGTGTGCGCGTGTGTGTGAGGGAGTCATTCATGTATCACATTAGTTTTTATGTATATGTTCAACAGGGGGCCATCATGGCAGAGATTTTCCTCTTGAGAATTGACCCAGCTGCATCAAAAGCTTGCTGTGCACCCTACAACATGAAGAAATTATATATAGACGTGGCAGACCCACTTTTCTTGCTCTTACAAAAATAAAGCACGGCAGTAGGCTGCCATAATCGATATAACCTGAGAAGGCAGGTCATAAATCTAAGCAAATGTATTTCCCAGTAGAGCAAAGGATGCTTAAGGTCTCACACAAATGAGAGAACATATATATTATGTTATATTATATACATATATTAGAGTTGTGCAAAAACAGAACACTTTGCAAAGGCACAGGCACGTCACCAGACACCCGTGGATATGAAGCCAAATACTGATTATCACCGACTTATAGGGTCGCGTAATAAATGGACGCAATTAAGCTGGGTTTTTGAAGCGACTCGCAGCCGATCACCCTCATTAGGGACGCGCTGAACCGCAGACAAATTTCCACATACGGACGGCGCGCAGGTAAAATATTTGCCGCGGGGTGTCGGTGCTCCGTATAGTGACAGTCTGTCAGTAGCAGTGCACTCCGTCTGTTGGGAATCGGCTCGCACGCGTAAAAACACTGCGCCCGTCCGGCTTGCATTGAAAGTGGCATCCTCTTCGTCCTGTGATCAGAGGAATAGACACCCGACTGAATCAATGAAAGAACGACCAATAAGATAATCAATCGGTATGCACAACAGTAAGTATGTTGTGAAATTCCCCAACATATAAGCACACTGGACAAGTCCTCAGTCTCTGACCACAGGCTCCCAATTAGGACTCCACGTTCACTGTCGGCCATTATGAATGTGATAGCTCTATAATAATTTTTACAACAACAGTCCGTCCTTAAATTTTCCACTGAGATTCGAGGGATATACTTTTACAACGACTAAAACCCAGTAGACCCTCCGGAGTGTCGGAAATACGCGCGGAGTCGGACCGCCGCGAGAATTAACCACATCCATCTGTTTCGCTGAAATAGTACAGAGGGAACACGGATCGATATGTGGGTATTTTACGCGTCACGTGCCGTAATTTCAGTTTTAAAAAACGGTGAATGTCAAGCAGTGTCGCCTGATAGCAGACGGGGAGAAACGCAATTCCCAAATACCAACAGAGGGGAAAACTGGGTCTGATCTCCAGCCAACCTGACCGAGGTAATAAAAAAACAAAACAGAAACAGTGCTTTCAAAGACAGGATTATCCGGGTTAGGACATTTTTGAATTTACCTCAGGATGTCGGTGGGATTGCCTCAAGTTTCTTCGTCCGTCAGCCGGTCACAAAACTGAGTCCAAGAAGGGCAAACACTGTTATCGCGCCGTCTCTCCTCTCTCCCTCTCTCTCTCTCCCCCACTCTCTCTCTCGCTCTGTCTTTTCAAACAACGTCACTCCCGAAAATCCGTGGACGTTTTTTTTCCCCACCTCCTAATTTCCACGGTTTTCTCTCTCTTTGTCCCGTCTTTTGAATTCTTAATCATCGCCTTTTTTCCTCGGGAGTGATTAATATCAGTATTATGTCCATCATCACTCATAATTATATCCACCACCTCCGCCACCGGCGTGATCATCGTGATCATCATTCATCACGTATCAATACATCCCTCTCATCTGCCTTATGTGCTGGAGTTTCCTGTGCACAAGAATTTTTCCAGTACAATTGCACTCACAACCTACGCTGTTTCTTTGTTATAAGAGTTCAGTAATACTTTTATTTTCCTAAAAGGTATTTTTCCAGAGTTTATGTGTTCTAAACCCTTAATTGGAACTTAATAGATAATATACTTAAGCTTCACATAGTACTTCTAAGATATTACTAAGATCAAAAACACATTATTGAGCTTTGGGTCGCCAGGCTATTTAGAAAATTAAAGCATTATCTCACTCCATTAGTGTGGAGGAGAGGTTGACTAAGGCACCGTAGGCTATGCCACAAGTCCCTTTAGAAACATTAATCATATTAAAGGGAAAATTTTAAAAGGATTTTTGGTACAACTTTTAATAATATTGGTTTTTAAGAAAGACTAATGTTTCAAGCCATTGTTAATAAATCTACTAATCCACTAATATATTTGGGTTGCCAGACATATTGGGGGGGGAAGCAAAAAAGACCAATGCATATGTTATTGTCTGTTATAAGAAAAATATTATTTATGCAATATAATGTTGGTTGTCCCAACTGTTATTGGGTTAGAGGGAGGGTGGACCTCGGATAGGCCCCCAGTCTATTACAGGGCTAACACAGAGAGAACGACAACCATTCACACTCACATTCACACCTACAGCAAATTTAAAATCACCAGTTAAGTTAAAACTGCCTGTTAAAGAAAGCCAGAGAGAAGTACCACACATACAAAGAGAACATGCAAACTCCAAACAGAAAGGCCCCGACCAGCTGCTGGATTCGAACCCAGGACCTTCTTGCTTTGAAGTGACAGTGCTAAAGGTGCCTCCCATGATCTGAGGCAACAAAAACCTTCATAAACGTTATTTTAAAAGATGATACCAAATTTTATTTCCTAAAGTTTTCTGTAACATCGTGTTACAGTTAATCATGCAGAGACATTCACTGCTTTACTTTATGCTTCTAATACAAAGAAGAAGAAGAAAGTATAAAGACTTTATAAACCCTGCCTCCGTAGAAAGTGATGCCAAAAGTTTTTTGTTTTAAAGTTTCATCGATCTATTGGTTTTAATCATGATAGTCACTATGAGTCACTTTTAGTAAAGGAGCCTCTTTCAGCACTCTCAATCCCTGTCTTTATTCTATTGGAGCATTATTAAAGCTGACCTTTTGACACTGGTAACACAGATACAGAGCATCAAATGTTATTGTTTTGTCAAAGATACCAGTATGTCAGAGATGACTGCTCTCAGACCCAGCTTGTGAGATATCAACTCTTTGTCACGACCAATGACTGTTTTCTACAATCGTTGATCACGACTGTGTAGCATCACATTTTAACCCACTGAGGGCTCTTAATATTCATCGTACCTCATGGATTGTCAGCTTGAATAGCGTCCAGCCCACCATCCCACAGCAACCCTAGTTGGAAGTGGGTATGATGGATGGATGGATGGATGGATGGAAGGAAGGAAGGAAGGAAGGAAGGATGGAAGGATGGATGGATGGATGGATGGAAGGAATGAAGGATGGATGGATGGATGGAGTACAGTGAATCAAGAGACCAGGCGGAAAAAAAACCCCAAAGAGCAAGTCAAAAGACTTGAGACAAAGTGCAAAACATAAAAGCTCCCAGACAACTCATGGATTGCTTTTTCCAGGTTAAAAATCTTGTGATTTACATCCCAACTCCTGTTGATTTCTTATCTCAACTTCAACACTGTCTGAAACAGAACCTTTTGCTGTCACCATCCAAGATTTCCAGTGGGTTGCTGTATTAACATCAAAAGGACATCTCTGTGGGTATCCCTGTGAGGCCAGCAGCTCTGACAAAATGAGAATATTTGGGATGTGGCTGAGTTTCTTAGTACTCTGCTAATTGACAGGTGATGACATTTAAAGTGAAAATAGAAATGAACTCAGTTTATAATGTGCACATTTCTTGTAGCTCAAGTATACTCACTGCATTTCATGAGTATACAAACTATACAAATATCTTGTGTTTCCATCCATGCATCCAAATATGCTTACCGTATAAATAAAACGGTGCATTTACTGTTGTTATAATAGCCTTTGAAATGTCCCTTTTTCTATAATATACCACTTTCTTAACAGGGCCATCATTAACAGCATCATTATCGCCAAACAAATCATCACCCGATTACCGCCCAGTGATAACATTATTACATTCATGTTAATCAGACCACCTTTATCATCACCACGGTCCTATTTCAAAAAGCTATTACCTCAGCCTTATCACTTAAGAACAAATTATACCTCGTCATCTTCGCACACATCCCAAAGCATGCGCACACCCACATTTCATTAGGCTGATATACCCTCCTCAGTCATTACACGTGTGCAAAGGCCAGTATCTTCACTGTGCATTGTACCTGTAGATTGACTCCACCTGAAAGTCTTTGAAGAACACAGAGAGAGTGGGAGGGAGGAGTGGGGTGCATGTGTGACCATTAGAATAGTAAGAGACGGAGACTGCTCTCTCTGTGTTATAGAAACACAGTATAAGAGGGCCAGCCAGACGGCAGAGCATGAAAGGACTGATTTATCCCCTTGGGAGAGACTCTGTGTGTGTGTGTGTGTGTGTGTGTGTGTGTGTGTGTGTGTGTGTGTGTGTGTGTGTGTGTGTGTGTGTGTGTAAGAGAGAAAGTAAAGTCAGGAGCAGTATGTACATGCCTGTTTTGCTCTCTCTATTATTGAACTATAGAGTGGGTGATTACATGATTAAATTAAACAGATGCATTTGTGTGTGCTGGTTCTTCTCTTCCACAGGCCAGAGTGCGCGTCTGCCTGGATGCGCTTCACTTTTACTGCAGCCTGGAGAGTCAGTTTTGCCATACATATGTTTGGCAGGCACACTCAGTTGGCCAGGCAGCAGAATCAGGCTGGATATATTGTACCCAGTACCAGAAAATACGCTTTTAGGCTTTTTAGACACTGTGTAAAGAAACAACTTGTACCACAAAAGCAAGCGCATTTACTGTGTTCTCAGACATCACAGATTTAGCCGGGGTGTCAGTTCTTTCTCAGCTTTACGGTTTATGATCAAGTAAAAACCATGCGAGTTTCAAGTTAAAAGGCTCAGTTAGCCCAAATTACATAAACACACTTTCACACGTAGCTCTTCTACTCGTGCAAACAGCTTTGGTTTTATCTGGAAAGTGCTCTCTGTGATTTCTGCCCCTATCTTAATACAATGGCCAAGAAAATGGAAATTTAGTTTGGGCTGCTCATCACCGTGAAAAATTACGTTTTATTAAATGTAAGAATGCCTCTTTTTCAGAAATAGCACAACAGTTCAATAGGCTCTGCATAATCCCCAGACCTCACTGAAGCAGATCACAATCTAAGACCGTCCACTGTTTCTGTCCTGATCGATCAATTCTAATGAATTCAGTAATCCCATGGTCTATTATCTAGTGACTTCATCTAGTCAAAACTTTAATGGATGTAATTCTTTTTACCTAATAACATTTCTGACACTAAGGGCCGAGCACAAGAGAATGTTAGCAAGGTGAGCTATAATATTTATGATAAAGTGAGGCATACTCTGGCTGGATCGCAGCAATCTGTAAGGCAACTGGTGGGTCATGAGAACCACAGAGATTGGTCTATTGTTGGTAACTAATCAGTTTGTTTGGTTTTTATGTCTTTGGGGTTTTTTTAGCCAACAGAGTAGTTAAGCTAACAAAAAGTAGTGCAAGAACAAGACAGAAACTAGAGCAAGGCCTTTTCCCATAAATCTGAAAACATGAGTGTGTGTGGATGTATCCTGAGCGAAAGACCTTCAACAGCTTTGTTCAGAAAAAGAAAGAGAAGGGGGTGAGCCATTGTACTCAGCGGATGACAAACATCCATCCATCCATCTATTTTTTAAACCACTTTGTCTGTACTTTTTTGTATGTACACTGTGTTCTCATACTTTTATTTTTCATGGTCATATTGTGTCCCTTCTCTGAACCATACCAGACATTGTGAAGTTTGTTCATTTCATTTTTAGGTTTTAGTTTTATTTGTCTTTTTTTTAGTTTAGTTTTGTATAGCTAGCAAGGCAGTAAAATAGATGATAGCGAATTAGCTTGCTAGCATGCTAACCGTATTAGATGATACTTTAGATGATGTTTTCATACTTTGACAAGTAGTATTTTTTCCAGTGCTTGGATGTGCTCAATACTGAGGTACAGCATACACGTATTTGAAGGAAAGCTGCTCTAAGTCAAAAGATTTTTTTATAGAGCGCAGTCTTCTGCATTACCAATAATGGCTACTAGATATACACTACAAATTAGCCCAGCTGTTTTCCCACTTAATTAATTTTTGAATTAACATTATCTGGTGATAAGTTTGTTTCATTTGGTCTTTTTCCCATTTTTTTAGCCTTACCCTATGGGCCCTTCTGTGTCAAGTTGGGGTCTTATCCACTTGACAGCTTCCTGTTTGATTTTGATAGTGTGGTGTCTCTCATGCCTTGCCTTTAGTTTCACTTCCACTGAGCGCCTCAGCCTTGATTAGTTTCACCTGTTGTTTTTTGTTTGTTTGTTTTGCTTCCATCCAGCTGTTTGCGCTCCACTCATTTACCCTCAGTTCAGTCCTAGTATAAACAGTTGTGTTTGTTCTGTACTGCTGTCTGCTTCACCTGGATTTAGGTTCTATGACTTCATTTTGGAATAATCTTTTGAACTTTTATCAGCCTAATAAAAAGTCCCCTT